CAGCCTATTTGTCACCTGCCAGCTGACACGGCCTCAGCCATGGAAATGGCTGGCTTCCTGGGCAGAGTCGCAGAGGTAGAACTGGGAATTTAATTTTGAAAACGACTAAGAGCAAACCAAAGGCAAACTGCTAAAGGAGGTTTGGGTCCAATGAGGCAATGCAAAATTTAAAACATCACTGTTTGTCAACACCTTTCCAAAAGTTACTATTGAAAGTCAAGCTGCTCTACAAACCCTATACTGACTGTATTCACAGCAGTTTCTTCTGTAGATCTGACGAGTCAGAATGTAATTTGCTTCACTCATTTTCTCATTGTCTGTACTCAATACTAAAAGTGACATTTTTCGATGTCTGACAGGTAAAGGTCAAATTTAGAAAATTCCTCCATTCCCTTTAGGCTTATAATGTATTAACAGTGTGCTTGGCATTTCCTTCTGTTCTCATTCTCTCCTCGCCCCCTCCCCCCACCACCACCACTGCTCTCACTTAAACTTGGTTCTGGAGACCATACCACAGGTTACCTTTTATTTCAAGAAACATATCTGTTTCAGGAATTTGGAAAATGAGAATAAACCAGCACACGACTTCCTTAAGATAGGAAAGTATGACAAGAGAAAAGCACTGAGTTGGATCTGATGTAACTATTTCATAGTCGCTCTGTGACAGCTTCCTGGGCCCACCCAAAAGAATCCCTCCACACAGGGATGCTTTGTGCTAACTTGCCCGGCTCACAGCCCTGCCCCTTAGATTGGAGCTGAAAACAAGCAAACTTTCCTGGCTCTGGCCTAGCTCCAAAAGTTTGACATGCTAGAGCATGAAGCTTCTGAGGGTGCAGAGCTACCTCATCCTCCATGCGCCTTAGAGAGAGGGGCCAGAGGGAAGCTCGCCCTGTCCTGATCTCATGTGCGTGGGTGGCCTGGGGAGAACGATAGGAAGGGGTGCCTACAGGACTTTTATTCTGCCCTCTGTTTCAAATACCTTGCTGAGGCCACTTTGCTGGCTCTCAGCTAGTGTTTGTCACCCTAGAGTCAGAAGAAGGTAAGGTTTCTGTCTTGACCCCGAGAATCAGAAATCTCTGAATAGAATGCTTTAAGACTGGTTTCCTCCATGTTTGGGAGGTCTGACTTCTGAAACGGCTTCCTCTCAGAATGCAGCTGCAAAATCCACCACATATAATTAAAAGATCGTGACAAAGAACAGACACCAAATCAGTCATTGCTGCTGTTCAGATCTAACAGAAATGAATACAGAAACATGACTTTCACTCCTAGGGAAAACAGGAGGAGGTGATAGGAAGAGAAACTGATGGATTTGCTTTACAAACAAGATCAACCCACTGGAGTCCCACGCATACAACTAGCCAGTCGG